AATAGACGTAATAGAGTTTGTTGGCCTTTGGTGGAGTGCCGTGGATTCCTATTCTGCATGGTTACTGTTCTAGACTGAACAGTTTGAAAGGTGTATGAGTAAGTTCCCTTTCTAGATACCATCCTGTTGATCATGATAGCCGGATTGAGAGATTTTACATATTTTGTAGTTTTATATAGTTTTAAGTTTATACATAATATGTATACAACAGAATCTTCTGATCTTTTATTTAATGTTATGTTGCAAATTCTACTGAATAGGATGACAATCAGAAAGAGGAATTAATCACTAATTAGTTAGTTAGTGAAGAAAAAACTTTTATGCCACTTGGTCTAGATTTAGAATGTTATTTTTTTTTGTAAATATATAACACATGCTCTCTAAAGATATTGCATAGGCAAGGTCTCACTTGTGCATGCCATAAAACATATTCACTTGATGGGAGAAATATATATGGAATGCCTTTCTAGTGATTTTACCCATAACTAGTTATTAGGTTAGTTATAGATATAAGTATATTATAATAATGTTGATCTTGCTTTTATCAAAAAAAAAGTTTTTAGTGTTGTCATTTATATTACATGATGCACATTTGACTTAAAAATTATAAGTAGGCTAATACCACCATTTAAGTTTAGTTTCCAAAATAGGCAGTACCACCTTTGAACAATAGAAATACCAACATCAACAATGAGAAAAAGTGGTGGAATCATATTTTTATTTGTCAACATTTTTCATAAATAAAACAGAACAAAACTAAAATCATGTAGACTATTGTGGAAGTATCAGTGTATCATTTTGTATAATTGTTAGTCTATGACACAGATATTCAGGTAGATACATTTATGCAAAGTAACACATGTTGAATGTTCAAGGGTAAATTGCACACTGGGGGGGCTATGTAAATACGTTTCTGATAGTGTTCAAGATTACCTGCTGCTTTAGATAACAGATCTAATAATCAGTCTATTCCTAGGCACATGTAGTAAGGATGCAGGTATGGTGAAGGAATAACAGAGTTTGCTCCATAAAGACAGTGACCTGAAGCTGAGGTTAAAAACAACTAGGCTAGTATCTATTAAAAAAAACAAAAATAGATAAATTGGGAAATGGATGTGAGCCGTCTTCATAGTGTCTACAAGGTGACTTTGAGAAGCTAATACTCCTGCAGGTAAAGCATTATCAGAAGGTCAAAAGGTAATGTAGGTGTAGTAGATAGGCTTGAAATGTATTCTTTCATTTTACTGAATAGAGTTTTAGTCATAAATTACATACATTTTTAATAAGTCTTATCTCAGAGCCAGTCATAGGTGCATTTTAGGTCTTAGATCTAGGCTAGTTTTACATGGCATCAGAATTTTATACTGATTTTTTTACATTGTCAGATATTTTGAGTGACTTTTAAGGTTGCCGTTTTAGTTAAGCTCAGTTGATTATGAAAGAAAATAGATAAACTTTAACATTAATGTAGGCCTGACTGTGATTTTTCCAGATTAGCTACAGCAGGATTCTTCAAATTGGACCCAGAATTGCCGATCAGAGGGTCACAGCATCACATAAAAAGGGAATTTATGTAGAATTAACAAATGGATGAATTATGTTATATAAGTTACAAAATAAGTGTTTATTATGCCAATGTTTTCCGTACCATATGTTTTTCATGCCAAACGGAGAAGGGTGTAGAATATATTCAGTACTAGGTACAGACAGTATGCCAGATAGATATCAAATAGTGAATTAATAAATTTGGAAAAGCTTCCCCTTCCACATGAGAGAAAATTTGTAAATCTTAAGGAAAAGATGTAAATAAACATATAAACCAACAAAACTAATAATCATTATTCTTTACTTTGTGAAAAATCATGTTTATTTGTTTAGTATTATCTAATGTATGTATGAAAGTAATGTAATAAAGTGAGATTGTGTGAAAGAGGAGGGAATCCTCGGTTAGGGGGTAGGGGATGGGATATATTAATCTCTTATGGCTTGAAGGGGCAGAAGGGGAGGATTAAGTGGGAGAAGCCTCCTGGACACAGACATGATGATGGTGGTAGGAGATATAGGGATAGAAGTAGAAAAATCTCCATAACTTTGAGGATAGAAGAAAAAGGGGCAAACAGTGCTAGTTATACTAGTTTATACATGCTATATGTCATTCCGTGTGAAATAGAGGTCTTTAAAAAACTGTCAGTTTTCAAAAGCTAATACTATAGGGAGATGACTCTATAAAAGGTGGTTGGTCATCCTCTATTTAACTGGTCTAACATCTCTTTAGTGAGTGACTGTTGTGGGTGTGAGTTCCCATAGGTATGGCTGGGTGCTGGAGTGGAATTGGAGATCGATGGGCAGAGCCGGTGAGGCTCTCGGACTGTGGAGGCTTAGGCAGCCCTGGAGTTGCTGCTGCTGTTGTCTTGTTCAGATGGAAGATTGTTGAGTGATGATCTCGGCCCAGGCGCTGGAGCTTAAGTACTCTCAAGCTGTTTCAGCTACCTGGGAGCAGTCCAATGAGCAAGCCAGGAGCTGTCCATGACAACCAATCAGGTCTTAGCATCAGTCATCCAGAGGCTGCTGATGGTGGGGTGCGAGGATGCAGCTATAGATCTGGACCCAACCTGGGGGGAAGTATGCCGCACTGCAGGTTGTGGGGGTCAGCTACAGGTACTCCCTCTCCAGTGAGGGAGCTAAGCGAGCGAGCGATAGCCGTGTTCGTTTCCCTCTGGGGTCACCAGTATAGAGGGTGGTTGGTCATCCTCTATTTAACTGGTCTAATATCTCTTTAGTGAGTGACTGTTGTGGGTGTGAGTTCCGACAGGTATGGCTGGGTGCTGGAGAGAAATTGGAAATCGATGGAGAGAGCCAGTGAGGCTCCCAGACGACAGAGGCCTAGGATGGCTTGGAGTTGCTGCTGCTGTTGTCTTGCTCAGATGGAGGATCGTTGATTGATGATCTTGGCCCAGGCGCTGGAGCTTAAGTACTCTCAGGCTGTGTCAGCTACCCTGGAGTGAGGGGTACCTGCAGTCCAATGAGCGAGCCAGGAGCTGTCCATCTCAACCAATCAGGTCTTAGTATTAGTCATCGAGAGGCTGCTGATGGTGAGGTGCGAGGACACGGCTATGGCTCTGGGCCCAACCTGGGGGAAATATGACGCACTGCAGGTTGCAGGGGTCTGCTACAACTCACCTGACAGCACAGTATGTCTCTATGCTAAATCATTGTGGGTTGGATTTTCAGGGTTAACCTATTAAGTACTTATTCAGTTTTGTTCAAGAACGGTTAGAAAGTTTCCTTTGTTGCAAATCTTGTTTTGCAGATCTGTCACAGTATAGAATGAGTATGAAACATTAGTAATATTAATAAGTTGTGCACTGCCATTACTGCCATATAAAGCTGCTTTCTCAAAGATATAAAAGTAATTCCGATTTTTTACACCTTCAGTAATGGTGCATTAATATTTTTAGTTTAGTGATCTTTTATATTCTGTTCCCTATCTAGTTATAGCTCCCTAAATATCAGTAACAGTCTCCATTGGCAATTCATGTCATAGATTAAACTGTTGGCTTATATATCTCTTCTAATATCTTTGATTCAGAAAAATATAGTCTGCATATGTGGTACTGTATGCAGACAAAGGGTCCCACTTGTATTGTCTCATCTACAAACGCAACATGATTACTTATATTGATATGGTGTAGGACATCAAGTGTTTGGGAAGAAGTATTGGATGTAGTCATACATGGGAATAATTATACTAATATATAAGAGTATTTTCAGTTTTTCTATTAAAATTAATAGGCTTCTTACCATAGAAACCTGTGATTTGCATTTAGAAGTGACGTAATTATCAGTTTTTTTTTAAATTATGATATTTACAATATAGATAATAGAGCCATTTTCTACAAGTTCTGCCAGCTTATAGTCAAACAGTTGTATAAATAGGTGTTCAAATACATTTCTACTTTAATGATACATTGTAAGTGTCTGGGTCCTTTTACTTTAATGAATGTTTGCCTGAAATTGGTTTTAAAGCAAGGTTTTATTTGTTTGTTCTTATTTTGCATCAGGAAAAGAATTGTACAATGTCTGAAATTGATTTTTTATTTTCTTTTATTTTAGGCAACATGTATAGTCACATGATATAAAAAGGAATAGGATTTAAGTTTTTGAATCATCACTCCCATATTACCCTGATATGTTAATGGGATTTAATTCTTTTCGTCTTGTATCAGATGTTTTTGTAGTGCAATATGTTATGAAAATTCTAATCTTTTTGTCTTGAACGTATTCACAAAGTAATGCATGTCACCTGCTGGATCTTTCAAAGAATTTTATTTTGAATGCTGTGTTTTTTACCATTATTTTTTCTATTATTTCCATTACCAGTATTATTTTTGTTTTATTCATTGACAGAAAATCTATAAATGAAAATTTGATTTTTAAACAAGATAGTTTATATTATGATATGATATTCCAGCATCATTTTCTTTTTTTTACTGTATATGAGCTTGTAATTTTGATACTCCATAAATATAGGAGGGCCTAATGTGTCTTTAGATCTTGCTATTTGTTTGGATTTCTTTTAGTTGCTTGCTAAGGAATCAACTTATGCCATATAGGTTATTTATGTTGAATTAATGAGTGTAACTCCTTATTGTGAATTCTGCCAAATAAATAGGGAGAAGTATTGTAATAGAATGACTTTTTGCCTTATCTTCAACAAATAGGGTTCAGAGATAAGGTAAAAGATAACGTTATCATCTTGTATTTTCTATTTATATACAGTGAGTGCTGTAAGGTGAGGTATTATTAGAAATGCTTGTGGACAGAAATTAATTTGATTAAAGAATAAAGAAAAAACTCCCAAAGGTTATAAGTTTTTAAAATCAGAGAACATAATTTTGGTGAAAGTTTTGTAAAGAGCTGTTAGCAGTAATAGCAGTATGATTATAATGGTAAGTACATTCACCTCAGGAGAAAAATGATTCTCTTGTATATTTAATATAGAAGGGAAATCATTCAGTTACACGAGTCGTGAAATTGATAGTAAATGGTATAAATGAAGAAGATCCAGATAATACTGAGTTCATGATAGGCTAATGCATGTACTATGAATGATGATAATAAATGTTCTGAGTATTGGTATGTATTTTGATGACATCAATTCTGGTGATGATAATGTTGATAATGTTATTGAAAATGACCATGGCAATAGTATAGATCTCTAAAGGGATGAGTATTATTGGTACTACTATCTTATTAATTATATTCCCTATGCATAAGGGGTAGATTATGCTGTAAGTTGCATTTGTTTATTTATTTACTTCTTGGGCAAACGAGGGAAGAATATGAGTCTGTTTTTGTGTAGACGATGGTAGATTGGGAGTAGACATGTGGGTGGCTTGAATGAGCAGAACGATCACTCAAAAAGTGATGGATGGATTGCAATGAAAAATTAAATCCGGGGTAGCCAGTGTCCCAGGGACTAGTAGATTTGATTTTGATAGTGATCCATGGAAGCTGTTGAGTTTGATTTATTGTAGTTTTGTGGTATAGGGTGAATGCATGTGGGAGATTAAGCTTAATGAGGGTAGATCATGGATATATAATGGGGTAGTGAATGTACGGGGTGGTAAATGTGTAGAAATATTTAATAAAAAAATTGATGAAAGCATAATATAAAAATTTACTTCTAGCTAACTATACCCTCAGGTAAGTGCGGGAAATCTTTATGGTGAATTTTATCCCTGGTCTCCCCATAACCCTGGACTCTAACTTGTAATGGGGTCAGACGGGGGTAGATGAGTAAATGGTGGAATAGATGTTTTTTGGGGCAGATTAAGATTGATTGTTTTTTTTTTTTTTTTTTTTTTTTTTTTTTAATAATAATAATAATAATAATATATAATAATAATAATAATATAATAATAATAATAATAATAATAATAATAATAATAATAATAATAATAATAATAATAATAATAAAGATCAAGATAGCTTGATAAAGTGAGTGGGCATATTGGAGGGAAGAATTTTGGTTTGTAGCTGTGACATGACATGTAGGCTAAGTAACACTGAGAGATATACAAGAAATGGAGGAAATATGCTTGAAATATATACATGAAATGAAAGCATAATGCAGTATTGATATCAAGGAGCACGAATAATAATACGGCAACTCTGATTATTATTTCGAGGGTATAGTTTGTATTACGGTTCCAGTTTCAAGGATAACCACAATTGCTTCAACATTCATTTGCTCTAAATTTGCCCTGAAAGATTGCATAATGTTTTGTCTTGGCACAAGATATGATAGAATAAAGAATCTGTAATAATATTTAGACTTGTCCCAGGGAATTTCTTAATAGGAGTGACTAGCTAACATGTCTAGAGGCAAAACATTATGAATTGTGTGCACCATTTTCTTCTCTTGATTTTTTTTTTTGTATTTCAACCATAATTAGGAAAAAAAAATATTTATTTCAGGATAAATTTTTCATTGCTTTCTGTATTTAGTAACATTCACAAATGTGCAATGTGGTTGTTTGTGATTATTTATTGGGAAATTACCATTTTGACAGTTTTTGTAGTATTCATCTTATATAATCTCTTTATTTTTATGTTTGTGTTATAACCAAAATGCAGATCAAAGTAAAAGATTTCTATAAGGATATATTTATCATTTTATACATTTTTTGTAGTGAAAGAATCCTCAAAATATATAGTTTAGGAATTGTTTTCTACACTTTTTTATTTTGTCCTTTTAGAAATAAATGAAGGAATAAGTATTTATCTTTTCAAATTTTCATTTTATTTGTATAAGCCATATTTTGATATTTCTCACCAAAGTACTTTGTCATTGAAGTTTTTTTTTTTTTTTTTTTTTTTTTTTTTTTTGGGGGGGGGGGGGGTATGAAAATATTTCTAGACAAATTATTTATCCAACATCTACAACTACAACTGAACCACTATAGAAAAAGAGAAATACATACGAATACTCTTAAATATTTCTCCTGAATACTTTTTATTTTATGGGGTTACTTTTTAAGAAATTTCAACTTTAACCAATACCTGTGTGTTGGTTTGCGACAGGTAGGAAAAGCTGAGTGAATCATTAGCTGGGTTTTCTGAAATGCCATATAGGAGTTACACTACTAGGTGAAACAGTAATAATTCATAGGCAGTGTCCTTAAAATGGCTTTTTATTTTGCATATTGATGTAAAGTTTGAGAAGTGTGCTATAAGAAAACTAAAAAAAAGCTCTTAGCTAAGTAGATTTAAAAGCCATTCTTCTACTGGTTTGGTTTATATAGAAAATTGTGAGGTTGTTGGTGTTGTAGCAACATAAACAACTTTTTTTTTTTTACAACAAAAACCCAGGATAAGAATTATCAGTAGTTGAATATTCAGTTATCTCTATGTGGTTCTATTCACTCTTTTTATTTTATTTTAATTTACTTCTTTCCAAAGTAAATTCTTTGGCAAATCTCATCGCATAATCTTACATTTCGACCTTGTTAAGAATATTTGGGATGAATAGATTGGTACCTTTATTAATAGGGTAAAGTTCATAACGAAACTGTCTGATCTGATTAATTGTATGAAAAAGTGGGAATGTAGTAAGTTCATCTCCTTCCTTTTCCTCCACTTCTTATTCTTCCCTCCTCACCTGCTTTATTGTTTAGGCTCTATTTTATGGGAAGTTGCAGATGATAGGAAAAGGCAGTGAAACTGAACAATATACAGGGCAACATACTAGGCGGTTTATAACAATAGATGCATGTTCACAGGCCAAGTAATTAATCTAATTATAGATAATTTCCGTAGAAAAATAAAGAAAACGCTTTTAGTATGTTGGCCAGTGATGCTCATTATGTTTCTTTCGATTATGAATATGTTATTACCATTACGATAGTTATCCTTGAACTTGTTCCATTTTCTGTGACAGGCCTCATTACCGTCAGAGAAAACGAGACATACGTTTTCTATGGACTGGTATTTAATTTTTACTGGATGTAATTATTTGGCTTACCAAGCATTTACAGAATGATCAGGTATAATTTCTAGGTAGACATAAATTCACTGAGTTTATTCGTTATGCCAAAGTTCTTCATGTGAACAATCAGTCATTTTCAAAAAGTTCTTTGTAGTGTTACATTTGCCCTTCAACGAGGTAAAGTCCCTCCCGAAGGCATTTCTTTCTGTACTTCAGCCCCTCGCAAGCATATGTTCATTTTGATCGTGGTAATGAAAAAAACTAAATGAGTTTAATATTGGAGTCCGCTAATCGAGCTATATTAGGACAAGGACAACACAGTGCATGTTTGCGAGGCCGGCACGCACCAAGGGGTAATTTCAGTAAAGCATGTGAGCGTGACTTTGCTAAGTAATGGTAGGCGAGGGTGTGTTTTTGGGTGTAGGTGTAAGGATATATAAGGAAATTAGTTGGGTGGAGGAAGGGCTTGGCAGAATCCTTTGTTAAACCCAGATATATATGTTTGACCTTGGGATTCCTTGGTCAAGATGTTTTGGTTGCAATTAAGGTATCGGGAGGGGATTGTTGGGGCAGGTGGATTCTTGGGACTGCAAATTGCCAAATCCTGAAACAAATCCACACTATACGCGCGCACACACCACACACTACCACACACACACACACACACACACACACACACACACACACACACACTACACTACACTACACTACACACTACACTACACACACTACACTACACTACACTACACTACACTACACTACACTACACTACACTACACTACACTACAACACTACACACACTACACTACACACTACACTACACTACACACACACACACACACAACACACACACACACACACACACACACACACACACACACACACACACACACACACACACACACACACACACACACACACACACACACACACACACACACACACACACACACACACACACACACACACACACACACACACACACACACACACACACACACACAAACACTACACACTACACACACACACACACACACAACCACTCCCGTATTCACGCTACAAACGCACACCTACATCCGCCATGCACTCTTTCCACGCCAACACGGCGCACGGCCCAACACAACCGCTCCTACTTCTTCACGAGCGAGCGGAGGGAAAGAGCTCGAGATGGGCTCGTCCTTGCTGCTCCTCCAGGCATTGTTAAGGAAGGGAGCTTGGAGGAGGAGACAGAATGCTTGCGTGTTTTCTCGGTGCTCGCGCTCGCCTGCCTCCCGTCGGGGGTCATTTGCATACGCCGTGTCACGCTCGGGGTTCCGAAGGAGTGGGGGGGGGAGGGAGAGGGAAGG